GCTTGCAGTGCGTCCGCGCGGTCGTCCAACTCAGACAGCTTCTGGTCTCTTTCCAACACCTTATCCACGTTGACTCTCATTATGTCCACTACCTCTTCTACTTGATTTTGCGTCTGCTAAAGTCTTCGGTTACTGCCACTGGCAGCACTCGATCCAGCAGACATTTTGGCGGACGAGACGACAGCCACGGGTGAAGACCTGAGGAGCTCTGAAAACACCAGCCTAAGTCGGGAAGGTGGCGCCGCGGTGACCTGTAGGATCTTTTTGATCATTTGTTACATCATGTTTGCCAGGATGTTTTGAGGACTTTTGCATCTATGTTCATTAACAATATTAGCCTATAGTTATCATTTTTGATTGGCTCTTTGTCTGGTTTTGGAATTATGGTATAGGTAGTTTCCAGGAATTACTTGAGGAGCATGCCTCCTCTTTCAATTTCATTAAAGAGTTTGAGGAGAACTGGCATTGGATTCTCCCTGAAATTCTTATAGAATTTGGCAGTGAATCCATTGAGACTTGGGATTTTCTTTGTTGGTAAACTTTATAATACTGTCCCAACTTCATTGCCTGTTATTGGGTTACTCAGGATTTTTAAATCTTGTTTCAGTATTGATAATTCTTATTCTTATAGTAATCTACCCATTTCTTCTGGATTCTCCAATTTATTGTTGTACAAGTTTTCCAAGTTGTTGCTAGTAATCTTCTGGACTTCAAAGGTGTCTGTTTTCATTTCTAATGAGATTGATTTGATTTTTTTCCTTTTTTTGGCAAGGTTGGTTGAGGATTTGACTATCTCTTTGATTCACTGGTTCTTATTTTTTGGTTTGTTTTTTTTTTTCAGTCTCAATTTCATTTATTTCTTCTCTGATCTTTATAATTTCCTTTTCTATATCAGCTTTGGATGTGGATTGTTCTTATTTTTCTAGGAACTTGAGGTGCAGTATTTGGTTACTTATTTGGGCATGCTCCGTTTTTCTGATGTGGGTATTTACAGCTATAAAGTTGCCTCTTAAGTCTGTTTTTATTTTATCTTATAAGTTCTGGTATGCTGTGCTGGTATTATAATTTGATTCTATTTTTTTGTTTCTAACCCAGTCATTGTATATATTTATGGGGTACAGTGTCACTTTCCATACATGTACACAATGAGCAATAATCAGAGCTGGGTAATTTGCATATCTGTCACTGTAGCATTTATCACTTCTTTGTGCTGAGAATCCTCTTAGCTATTTTGAAATATTCCGTGGAGTGTTGTAAACCACAGTTTCCCTGCTGTGCTATAGAACATTAGAAGTCGTTCCTCCCGTGCCACCGTCCCCTATGCCTACTTACCATCCCCTCCACCCTCCTTCCCCACACCCTTTGCTGGCTCTGGTAACAACTGTCCATTCTTCTTTGAGATTCATGTTTTTGCTCAACACCAGTGAGAACACACTGTACATGTTTTTCAGTACCTGCCTTATTTTACTTAACAGAATGTCCTCCAATTCCTTCCATGTTGCTGAAAACAACTGGGTTTCATTTTCTGGTGGTGGTTGGCAATATTCCTGGTGTGTATTATATATACCACGTGCTCTTTAGCTTTCATCCGTTGATCTATGTTCATCCCACGTCTTGGCTACTGAAACATCTGTTTTCCTTTTCGCTACCTTCGCCCTGAGCTTTTGAAGATTCACAGTGATCTCTTGGTCTGCTGGTTCCTTACAGCTCTAGGCCCTTGGCTGGGGTTTGTTCTGTTAAGAAAGTGACTGCTTTGCTGTCCTCCCTGTGCTCCTCAAAGCAGGGTCCATTCTGCCTCCGTGACCACTGCACTCAGGAGGCCAGGGCAAATCCTCCCTGTTCTCCAGTGGCTTGGAGATCTTACTATTGTGCAAGAGAGAACAAGCTCACTGGTCACTGAAACAGTGAATCCCCGGGTGACTGGGACAAACCCTTGTCTTCTTAGAATTTCAGATAAACATGCTTCCTTCACAAATTTGGATGGTAAAGTGACAGTTACTCCATACAGCAAATGTAAGGTTGTCGTCAACGGTGTGCCTATCGCAACCAGGACAAAGCTGCATCATTTGGTAAATTTCCTGCTGGGCTACAGAGGTACCTAAGTCCCACCCATAGCTAGGAGATGGGGAAGAAACCCGAGTCATGCCAAGGGGGACAGGGCATGCATGACTGGGCACTCCACCTCAAGGCCTCGGCTGTGGCTCTTGGTGAGGGCATGAGCACAGCCACTGGGGTGACAGGGTGCTCTTAACTTGCCATTGTCCTGAGGCATGTCACTTCTCTTCCCTGGGTCTCCCCTGCAAAACAAGGAGGGCTGACCCAAGTAGCCTCCAGAACACCTCCCAGTCTCACATGTATGAGGTGTGAGGGTTTTTAAGAGCCTGTTGTTGGGAAGCACTGTGCAACCTCTCCAAACACCAGTCTTCTTCAAGTCCATGCTCAGCAGTCCCGGCCACCACATGACTCCTGCCGTTGTTGCGTGGCCCTCGCCTCTCAAGTCTGTCCCTCACACCCATATGTAATCTCCGACTACAAACGGTCCATCATTCTCCTGCAAACCCTTCAGCCACCTGCTTTAGGGCTCCTGCTGAGCTCCCCCTACAGTCAGCCTCTCTGCCCTGAACACTGACCTCCTCTGGGTTGCTCTACAGGGGTTATCCCTGCCCACCACGCATGAAAGCTTCGCTTAATATTTCATCTTGCACGTGGGCCTTCTGTCCCCTGTGTGGTAGGCCTCTTGGACACTGCTGAAGCCCTGTGCTTTTCACCAGGGGTTAAAAATTCACAGTGATTCCTTCCAGCCTCCAGGGCAGGCTCTGTTTGGTCTCTGCAGATGCCTCCGTGCCTGGCAGCGAAGTAGTGCTGGCTGGGCCGAGTAAGAGCTGCACCCCAAAGCAACGTGGTGCCCTTCCCTCCCTCCTCGTGGACCTCTTCCCGTGAAATTTGGGGGATTTCCCAAAGAAAGAGATTTCTCAGAGCCTTCTAGTGCGAGACACAGGGCCTCGGCTCCGCCAGAGAGGCTGCCCATCCCCCTCCTGCCCCGCCAAGGCCTACTGTGTGTTTGCGTCTCCCCTCTAGGACCGGATTATCTTGGGCTCCAGCAGTGCCTACCTGTACATCGGGTTTCCTTCGGAGCGCAGTAGTGAGGACCTGAGCAGATTTGACTATGACTTTTTCCAGCTGGAGAAAGCGGCTGCCGAGGGAGTGAGTGTGGACACGCTGGGTGAGGACCCCGAGCTGCTCCTGGGGCCGGCTGTGTTCAGGCTTGAGAGCAGCTGCTTCTCTGTGTGCCTGCTTGCTTTCCTGACGCAAACCATCTTTTACTGTGTCAGAACACAACGTGCGCAAAGCTAAACTATGACCCCGTACAAATACGGAGTGAGCCCATAGCAAAGATGTGCTTAACTCATTAAGCTGTTTCCCTTAGGAATAAGGGTACAGGTGGCTCAAAGGAGGGTAGACGAGAGTAGTATAAACAGTGAGTGGAAGAAAGAAGGCTGAAATAAGGTTTTGGGGTGAGATAAAGCAACTGCTGGCCTTCTGTCCTGCCCAGGGGGCTTCCACCCCCTGGGACAGTCTGGGACTCTTCCTACCTGAAGGCATTGAGCTCTGCCCTCTGTCTGGCTTTCCTCTGCACACCTAGACAAAGGCCCTGCCTGCTCCCTGCTATGTTCACTGCATTTAGGGATTGCTGATCCCACTGAGCTCAGTGGCGCCTACACCGTGTGATGTGTTGGCTTCCAAAGGAGGTCCCTACGCGTTGCACATCTTACCCAGTGAGTGGAAAGCAGACCCTACTGCATAGTGCAGCAAGTTCCTCCACTCTCCCTATGCCAACGTGGCTCTATCAGAATTTTAACAAATGAACAGGTTTGCAGTTCACCTTCTTCTGCTGAAGTTCTTGACCCGAGCCAAACAAGTCTTCCTACTATCAGGCCAGATAACTCACCCATCTGCCCACATGTTCACAGTGGCTGACTGCCCAGCTGGCTTCCCCCAACAGAGCCAGCCTCAGACCCTGGCTTGAAGGTGCTCATGTGCTGGCAATTACTGTGGGTCCTCAACAAGGCAGCTTTATGGGTGTCCTGGGGAGTCAGGCTGCAGGGCCACAGGCACTGTGAGCCCTAAGCAGGGATCTACAGAGCCAAGAGTTCCCTAGAGAGGTGGCGCAAACCACCTGAGAGGGGACTGGGCTTCCCACAATCTCCATGTCCCTCTCCTTCAAGCCACTCAAATATATGAGAAGAAAGAACAGTTTGCTCTGCTGCACTAGCTGAAACTTGAAGGTAAATTCCTAGCCAACTAGATTTTATTGCCCATCACCACCTGGAAAATCTGGAGTCGCCTTGGGTCAAGCAGAGACTTTTTGAGACCAAAAATGGGACTTGAAGGCACAGAGTCTGCTGTCAGGGTGCAGCCAAGATGGAGTTGAAAGGACATGAATAAATGAGTGAGTGAAGGGGGATATAAATGTGTTCACAGCTGGAAAGCATCAGAGAACTAATCACAGGTTTTCATGTGCATTCTGTGTCCAGGTGCTGTGAGCAGTGGAGGTGGCCACGCAGACCTCAGTGTCCTGGCTGTATTCCAAGACTACATCAAACTCATGCCACTGGTTGCAGAAGCAAATCAAATGAGTGAAGAGCTAAAGAAGGTATGTTAGAGCCAGAAAACAGTGTAGCATCAGGACCTTGCAGCCTAAAGAGGTGTGGGGTTTTCCCAAGACCACACAGTAAACTAGGGATAAAATATGGACTCACTGCCAAGCCTTCCAGCCAGCCCAAGCCCCATTCCTGCCCTGGCTGACCTCAGGCCAGTGCTGTAACTGCCCCATCTATGATTGTCCCAGTGGCTCTCTGGGTCTGGGGACACAATGACTGCTGTACCACTACGAGGGGGTAGAGCTGGAGTTAACTACCGCTGGCCCCAAACCCCAGTCAGCAGGAATCTTGTAAGAGAATTAATCACTTTAATAAGTAGGAAACACCTGTTCCAGGATGTCACTGAGAAATTCTGGGGTTTTGCCATTTGTCTTGGTGGAATTTCAAGGAGCAATGAGCTGGGCCATGTTCTTTTAGAAAGCAGGAGTGTAGGAAGACTGCAAGGAGAGTGCATTGCAGAAGGGGGTATTGTGGTTTGCATCTAGAGGTCCCCCTAAAGCCTCGTGTGGCCATGGGTGGGACTTCTTCAGAGGTGTCTGGATCTAGAGTGTGTGACACTGGAATTGACTCACCGGGCAACACTAGGCTCAAGGGTGCTAGGATTAAGGGTATGGGGATTAAGGGCTGTGAGTACTATGTGCCCCGAGTAGCCTAAAATAAAAGTGGCAGAAACTGTTTGGGTCCCTCGCTTGCTTGCTCTTGCTGTCTTCTGCTTGCCATAAACTGGCTCTACACTGTGATCACCCCCCCCGGCTTGGAGCCAGCTGGTTATGTACTGAACGCTGTACAAACTGTGAGCTGCAGAAACCCTCCCTCCCTTAACTTGTGGGCATTCGGTAGTTTGTCTCAGCAACAAGAAAAGTGACTAAGACAGGAGATATTAGATGAAAAATGAATTACCTAGCAAGAAGTATTTTTTTCACCAGGGACTTGAAATGGAGTTGAAGGTGAAGAATTTAGCAGCATCAGATTCTAGGGGCTATGACCTTCAAAAAGAGGTCATGGTGAAGGTGACCAACCAAAGGACTCATGAGGTGAGTATGCATCGTGTGCGTGCGTGTGTGAATATGTGTGTATGTGCGTGCAAGTGTGCATACAGAAGATAGAGTTGCCATTTTGTTTCGTTTTATTTTATTTATGTATTTGCTACAGGGTTGCACTACACAGCTGAGACTCATAGTGACCCTCCAGTTTTCAGCCTTCCCAGAGCTGGGATTACAGGCATGCGCCACCATGCCTGGTGACTTAGTCCACGGAGCTATCTTGCCGACCCTAGATTGCAATTTTAAAGCAATGAGAAGTCCACATTTTCACAGAATTGGAAAAGGCCTTTCCACTGACTCCACAGGCAGATTCATGCTAAGGCCATCCCCTCCAGGAAGCTCTTTTTTATGGATTTAGCACCTAGAACCTCCCCAGCCTGTCTAGGAGGCCACCTTCTATGCAGTGCTTTTTGAGCAGCCCCCAGGCACTTAGCCCTAGTGAATTCTCAGCACGCCCCGTCTACAAGGCCAGGCCACTAGTTCTCTGGTGGCATTAGAGGCTTCTCCCTTCCAAACTCTTAAAATAAACCCTACCTTACCAGGGAAGCCCCACACAGACACCACAAGGGAGGGCTGGTGCAGCCATTTGGAGATCTGCTCTACCAAGCACCTGAGACACTGCTGGGGTTTGCTGCTCCACTTATTATCCAAAAGTTACCAAAAGTTTCTGGGTCAAGATCAACCTTTTTTGAGGAGATGCTTGGGATTGAACCCAGAGCCTTACACATGCTAAGTACGTGTTATGCACTGAACTGTACCCCCAGCCCTTAAGAACAATTTTTTAAAGAACAATTTTTTAAACCTTTTTAAAATTGTGAACTCTGACAAATCCAGAAAAAGGCTATAAATGTGTACACTCACATCATATATGTTGTAAACACCTGTGTACCCACCCCTAGTTGTTGACCCTTCTGGGTCCTGAATCCCAGGCTGTGAACTCCTGGGGTCACTCTGGAGCTCACGTCCTTAGTCCTCTTCCACTTGGGGAGCAGGTTTGGCACCAGCTGTGCTTACATTTACCACACAGCTTTGAGTCTCACTGTAAGGAGGGGAGGAGCCTCTCTGAAGCCCCCCAGTCAGCCTTGACATGCGTGTGTGCACCGTGGGGTTTGCGGGGTGACCCCTCCATGGTTCATGCCTTTGTGTGGTTTCCCTAGCAAGCCCATTAGGACAAAACAGCTTTTATGCTACCTTTTCCCGCAGGTCTGTCTGTCTGCCATGTTTCCCT